AGAGAGAGAGAGAGAGAGAGAGAGAGAGAGAGAGAGAGAGAAGTTGGGACTTTTAAAGGGAAGGCTGCATGCGCACTGAGGTTGCATGCATGCCCAGAGTCCTCAGCAGGCCGTAATGCGTGGCGGGTGACGTGGTGATGATGTAGCACGTTTTCCTGTGAGTGCCCTGACTGTTGTCAGGGGGCAGGGTCTGTCTTTTAAAGAGATATTGCCGATCAGTATTAAAGCCTGAACCTTTCACACAGGCCACCAAATTCCCTTATAATCAAGACAACCTCCACCCCCCAGCAAGATCACCAGTCAACTTGATCTTGATCTCATGAAGACTCTCTTCCCAGCTGGTACTAACTTGTGCCAAGCTCTCATTTAAAACTGACCATCAGGGCTGGAGAGATGGCTCAGAGGCTAAGAGCACTGACTGCTCTTCAGGAGGTCCTGAGTTCAATTCCCAGCAACCACATGGTGGCTCACAACCATCTGTAATGAGATCTGGTGCGATCTCTGGTGTGCAGATATACATGGAAGCAGAATGTTGTATACATAATAAATAAATAAAATCTTTTTAAAAAATGAAGATGTCTAGGCGATATTGTGAAAAGTTCTCTAAGATGTATTATTAAGTAAAGCAATACAGTTTAAAGAAATAAATAAAACTGACCATCAAAACTACATAGCTAACCGGGCATTGGTGGCACACGTCTTTAATCCCAGCACTCAGGAAGCAGAGGCTGGTGGATCTCTGTGAGTTCAAGGCCAGTCTGGTCTACAAGAGCTAGTTCCAGGACAGTCTCCAAAGTCACAGAGAAACCCTGTCTCGAAAAAATAAAACAACAACAACAACAACAAAACTACATAGTTGCCATAAAGTCTCAGTCCCCAACTCACTTCCTGCCATTTTTGTAACCCCACAGACAGAGCTGCATGGTACAGCCAGGGTTGTTTTGCTCGGTAACCTCCTAGTCATCCACAAAAGCCCAACCTTGTTCACCTTGCTGGCACCTGTTGTAAGCCAGGCAAGCCTGGCCCTGCCCCTTGGGAATCCGGCACAGCCAATCACCCCTCTGTGCATGACAGGCAGTACCCTGACCAGCCTATGACTACCTCATCGCTATGTAGTCTGCATGCAGGTGCAAAGAGGTAAACTCTGCCCACTTCCACCCTCTCTTTCCTGCTGTTCCTCTGAAGGGGGCAGCCAGGACTCTCTCTCTCTCTCTCCCTACTTCCCTCCCTACCTCCCCCTCCCCTCTTTCTCTTCTCTCCCCCTCTCCCTTCCCTTTCTCCACTCCATTCCCTTTTCCACCAATTAAACTTCTTAAGCTCTGTCTGCCTTGACCACCATGGGATCTGCTTCGGTACCACCTGGCACCATATTATAACAGTATCCACTTAAGATGCTGATATACAGGTCATGGTTAGATGCTTGGAGCCCTTGTGTAGCTCCGAGGTCACTAGGAAATGTCATTTTACAAGGGACTGTCCCAGAGGCCTCCCCAGAGTTTCTAATAGTTCCACTGATGAGTTCCTTCTGGACCAGAGATTTGAGGCGGGCAGGGGCGCTGGGGTCACCTCCCTGCCTTGCCCTGCCCCCAACCTAGTGCATGCTCAGGTAACTGTCCTTGAAGACCTGAGCCTACCTAGGCTTTTGATGTAGCTTTCCTTTTCTTTCTTGTTTATTTTTATTTATTTAGTTTTTGACAGGGTCTTACTCCGGTGGTCCTGAAATTCACTATGTAGACCAAGCTGGCCTCATTCAGCCAACCTCTGCCTCCTGAGTGCTGGGATTAAAGGCATGTACCATCAATGCCCCGCTTGATGTAGCATTTCTAAGGAAAACAAAGTTCAGTCTTCAGAATCTCCCTCTCCCTCTCCCCTTTCTATCTCTGTGGTGGCTAAAGTTATGTTTTAAGTTTAAATTACTGTGCATAAGACATCTATAAAATGCCGGGCGTTGGTGGCGCACGCCTTTAATCCCAGCACTTGGGAGGCAGAAGCAGGTGGATCTCTGTGAGTTCGAGGCCAGCATGGTCTCCAGAGTGAGTGCCAGGATAGGCTTCAAAGCTACACAGAGAAACCTGTCTCAAAAAA